GGGGGACATTAGGGCCGGTGGCCCGGCACACACATACACACACGCAGTCACCCCCACAACGCCAAGTGACCCCCCCTTCTTCCCCTTTCCTTTCCCCCCTTTCCCCTCCCAAACCCCCTCCCCCCACATACACACACACACACCGCCGCCCCCGCAGGAGGTGGTTCTCACGAGCCACTACTTGGGCCTGGTGATGGAGTATGCTCCAGGGGGCTCCCTCACGCAGTACGTCACCCGGCGGTGGAAGGAAACCGGGTGAGTGGGGGGCAGCGAGCGAGCGAGTGAGTGAGTGGGGGGTAGTGAGTGAGTGTAGTGAGTGAGTGGGGGGGTAGTGGGTGGGTGGGGAGTAAAAAGGGGAAAATGGTTAAAGAGGGGGGGAGTGGGTTTGGCGAAGAGGGCAGGGAAGAGGACGGAGCGGGGGATTTGGGGGGTTGCTGTTTAGGCCGTGTTGCAAAAATAAAATACTTTTTATATCCTTCGGAGTCTGCCTCCAGCCCGCCACCTACTTCCCCATCCAACGCACCATCCTTTCCTTGGTTGGTTGGTTGGTTGGTTGATTGGTAGGTTCGTTGGATTGATTTACTGCACTTCCGGTTTTACTACTCTCTCTAATTCTTATTTCCAATCTCCTAAGCATTTCTTCCCCTTGTACCCGCCCTCCTCCTCCTCCCTCCTCTATCTCCCCCTTCCCCCCCGAAACACATACACATACACACACACGGCCGGCAGTGGTGTGGGTCTTCTCATGTCGGAGGACGAGGCAGGGTTTTTCTTCAAACAGATCGTACATGCCGTAGACTACTGCCACCGACACCGTGTCGTACACCGGGATTTGAAACTTGACAACACACTGCTATCCGCCCACAATCCTCCGTTTGTCAAGATTTGCGATTTCGGGTTCGCCCGGGGCTGGGGCGGCGAGAACGCGCACTTCAATACCATCATCGGTGGGTCGGTGGGTCGGTGGGGGGTGTTTAAATGATTTTCGGAGCCGCTATCGGGGGTGGTGGTGGGAGAAAAGGCGATTACGGCGGTGGTGCACGGGTGAAGAATACCTTTTCACACTGACACAAGTTCCGGTGTGTGTGTGAGTGTGTGTGTGTGAGAGAGAGTGTGTGTGGGTGTGTGAGTGTGTGGATAGAATTATAGTTATCACGTTATTATTGTTTTCCCACCCCTCCCTCCTTTTTGGTTTTGGGTCCTCCTCCCCCTCCTCCTCCCCCTCCCCCTCCTCCCCCTCCCTCCCCCTCCCCCTCCCCCTCCCCCTCCCCTCTCCCCCCTCATCCCGAGGACGGCTTCTTCGCAACCGCCGACTGGTTAGTCATGCTTTCTTCACATCCGCCGCAGCAATCTTTCCCTCCTTGGCATCAGCTTCACTCGCTCGTGGTTCGTCTTCCCCCCCCTCCCGCCCTTCCGTACACTCAGGCACGCCGGACTACATGCCGCCGCAGCTCACAGCCGCCAAAGTACACCGTGTAGAAACCATGTACGACGGTACGAAAGCTGACGTTTGGAGCATGGGTGTACTGCTGGCGGTTATGTTGTTGGGTAAATTTCCGTTTGATGATGCGGTCAACGCAGCGGGAGCCAACGACCCAATGCGCACGGTGTATTTGCAGCAGCACATGCATGCCAGGTGGCGCGACAACCCCGCGCTCCGAGACCATGTGCCGCTGCTGAGTACGGAAGCTTTGGATTTGTTGGATCGATGCTTTGAGAAGGATGAGGACAAACGGTGAGCGGGATACGGTTGTGTTTTGCTATATGTATGTTGTTACAGGGTGGTTAACTTCGCCAGCGGCCCCCTTTCCAGAGGCAGTTCCTGCTCTCTCCTGCGAGAGGGGCACCCTAATCCACTCACCCCATCCGATTTCAGAATGGGTTAATCGTTGGGTTCAGCAACTCACCACCAGCATCCAACCAAATCTAGCGGATCAACGGCGCCTCAACTTAGTTCCTGGTCAGCTCGCAAGTTGACATATGTATGTATGTATGTATGTATGTATTTTTTTGTTCATTTACCCCCCCCCCTCGAGCCGCGCGAGCCGCAAAAGGCAACAGCCATGTAATGCGATGTCGCGCGACGTCGGCAATGTTGACATAACATGTGTTTTATGGTGTGCGGCTGCTCCCCCATTCCCCTCCCTCCTACGTCGGGAAATATTTCCGTACTGCAGTATTTCTGTACGGGAGGTCATGCAACACCCCTGGTTCACTCGCCCGCTGGCGCCCTTCTACCAGCAACCTCTGGACGCGCTTTTTAAAGAGCAGGTGTGTATTTGTGTATTTGCGAGTGTGCGCGTGTGTATGTATTTGCAAGTGCGTGTGTATGTATGTGAAGGCTACGCCCCTGTATGTATGTCTGGTACCAACCCCCAAAACAACCGTTCCACAAATTTCCCCAAACCCTTCCCCCTCCCCCTCCCCCTTCCCCTCCCAGTCAGTTCTGCTTCCGGCTTGTACACTCTTTCCTTGGCAGCAGCTTCACTCGTTGACCTGGTTCGTCTTTCCCCCTCCCCGCCCCCGTCCAACCACCTCCAACCACCTCCAACCACCTCCAACCACCTCCAACGACCTCCTCCTCAAAACACAGGCTGAGCTAGAGCGCAGGATGTTGAGCGGTGCTGGTAAGAGCAAGGAACGAGATGCCGCCATAGCCAACCTGATCAGAATGGCATGCAGTGAAGAGTTTAAGAAACTGGTACGGCATTTGGTGAGGGGGAGGGAGGGGGGTTTCGGGGGCATGGGGTGGGGAGGAGCGTGTGTGCGAAGGTTTTGCTTAGCGGGCCGGGTAGCCTCTGGGCCGGCGGATGCCATGCCGTCCGTATGTCCGTATGTCCGTCGGGGGTATCGCGCGTCGCCCAATCCCCAACCCCAACCCCAGCATCTCCCCCCCTTCCTTCACGCGTTCGTGGTTAGTCTTTCCCCCCCCCCACTACCCTACCGGCTCCCAGGGTTTGTCCCCCCTTTCCTTTCCTTTCCTTTCCCCCGCCCGTCCCGGGCCCCCTCCCCCTCGCCCCGCCCGTACAGGCAACCGCACCCCTGACCCCCGAGTTTACTTTTCAGTTGTACAGCCGCATCAACTTGCGTTCCGTACAGGACCACTACCCGACCTTCAACCGAAATTCGGTTAAGGCCATTCTGAAGGCCGAGAGCCGCAGAAACAGCCAGCGAGGAAATAGCGGCCGCCCCAAATTGGCAAGTGAGTGGTTGTGAGTGGCCGTGTGGATCCGGTTGGGTTTGGATCCTAATGAGCCGGGGGGGGGAGGGGAGGGGGGAGGGGAAAGGGGAGGGGGGAGGGGGGGAGAGGATGGGGTTAG